CAAAAATCAAAAGTTATTTTGTTTATCTTTTGAAATTTGAATTGTATTGTACTTTATTATTTAGACTAGTTATTGTCTGCGCCTGAAGGTACAGAGTAATAAAAAATGATAAATAATAAACATATTTGTATTCATATCCAAAATTAAATCACAAACATAGAGAAAAGATAAAATAATTTAAGTATCGATTTGTAGTAGGGGAAATAGGTAGTGGGCGATAGTGGTGGTGGTAGGAGACGGTGATAGTTGTGGTGGGTGGCGGAAGGGCAGCGGTGATGGTGGCAGCAGTAGCGATGGTGGTGACGGTGGCGGTGATGGTGGCGGTGGTGGTGGCAATGGGGCTGGTAGTGGTGGTGGTGGTGGCAGTGGGCATGGGGGTGGTGAAGGGGGTAGTGGCAAGGGCGGTGGTGGCAACGACCGCGGTGGGGGTGGTGGCAGGGGCGGTGGAGACGACGACGACAGTGGTGGTGGTGGCGGTGGCAGTGGCGGTGGGCGTGGGGTGGTGGCGGCCACGACAATGGTGGTGGTGCGGCGACTGCGATGGCGGTGGTGGCAATGGTGGTGGTGGTGGCGGTGGCGATGGTGGTGGTGATAGAGGTAGTGGTGAGGCAATTTTAAACACTATTTTTTTTAAAGTATTTATGATAAATAATTTCTAAAAATACTTTTAAAAAGTCATTCCAAACACACTCTTAGGGCCCTATTTTTTCTATTAAATTTAGGGTGTTAATATTAGGCGTTAGATTAATTTTAAAGTAAAATTTAAAGTGATCTCAACCGTGAATAGTAAAAGTCATTTTGTTTATCTTATGATAAAAAATCGTTAACAATCTGGATATTGTCTGTTTTAAGGATCATATAAAACCACTAGTTAATGTTTGTGCCTAAAAGTACATAGTAATAAAAAATGGTAAACAATAAACATAGGTGTATTCATATACAAAATCAAATCACAAACATAGAGAAGAGATAAATGAATTTAAGCATTAGTTTGTAGTGGGGTGAGAGGTGGTGCACGACAGTCGTGGGGATAGAAAACGGTGATGGTTATGATAGGTGGCAATGACCATGGTGGCGGTGGTGGTGGTGGTGCGGTGATGATAATGGTGGTGGTGATGGGAGTGGTGGCGGGGGTGTGACGGGCGTGTGGGGGTGGTGACGGAGCGGTGATGGCGGTGGCGGTGATGGCGACGATGGTGGTGGTGGTGGAGGTGGTGACAATGGTGGTGGTGGTGGTGGCGGCGGTATTAGTAGTGGCGGTGACGGTGGTAGTAACAATGGCGGTGGCAATGGTGGTGGTAGAGGTAACGGTGGGGCAATTTCACACACTATTTTTTTAAAAATATTTATGATAAATAATTTTTGAAAGTATTTTTCAAAAGTTATTCCAAACACATCCTTAATGATCTATTTTTTCTATTAAATTTTGGGTGTTAATATTAGTCGTTATATTAATTTTAAAATAAAATTTAAAACGATCTCAACCGCGAATAACAAAAATTATTTTATTTGAATTGTAAACTGTTTTATTATATAGATATTCAATATTTCAAAGACCAAAATAATGTAATTGAAACATTCAGAATCAAAATAAAACAAATTTCGTACTTGAAAAATCTTCGGTATAATTAATCTAAAAATATATTTTACCCAAGAACAAATTCGGCATTATGAATCTCATTGGACTTTGGGTCCATCGTCAGAGTGCCTGGTCACTGTCATAGCGTCTCTTGGGGCTAGTTTGTTTGAGGTATAAGGGTGGTATAAGGGGATATAAGAGGATATATAAAAAAAATAGTACGCGGGGCCTACCTTAAACCTTGTTTGTTGGACATTTTTTACTACATACTAATTTTCGTGTCATAGTACCGACCCGGTGTGAACAGTAACACTAATGCCTTCTACACGGTGCTATTCAATGCCACCTACCCGGTGGTATAATATTCTTGGTATGAATGAATGGAGGTATAATAAACTAAAAGGACCGAAATGTCCTCAGGTACAATGCCCATATAAACGCCTAGTTGCAATTTTTGATTTTTTAAGGTTAAAATTATCTTTTTATATTAGTTAGCCGCAATTGTTGATTTTTTTAAGTAGGTATTACACAGATAATGTTTATGACAAACAAAGAAGAGGAATGATGAGATTATAGTTTAAGACCGAATATATTATACTATTGGATTGAAGTGGAATGAATATAAAATTTTATACCCCTAAATCTTATATTTGAAACAAACTAGCCCTTGAAGTGTTGGTTTCAGCTCTCTCCCCCCTCTGTAATTGTCTTTGCGAAATAAAAAATCTCATTTCTATATATATTTTTGTCAGCATACAAAAAGGCGGACAATTTCTCATGATAACGGGTTAAGATTTGATTATTTTTTGACACAAATTTTTAAATGACATGATTTATTAATACAAATAATAAATAAGTCGAATTAATGTGAAATATGAATAACACAAAATTATCACAAATAATATATTCACCTAGTATTATCGAAATAAAATGTCAATTATTTATCAAGTATTGAAATAATTCTTGTAAAAAAAATATATATTTATTCATTTTTATTAAGTTATTTTTAATTTATAAAAAAAATATGAGCATTTGTTCGATTAAGTGATAATAAAATCTTAAATTTAAATCTTAACATTAAATTTCTTTATTTGTACGCTATATGTCTCGATACAAACACTACACGAAAATAAACAGATAGGATCGACACGACACGATTAATTAAATAAATTACGTTAAAATTTATTAATACTCGATATGAACCCATAAATAACACAAAACGAATACACCCCACATGATTACCACCCTTACATACAAACATTCGCATTAAAAGTAAAAAAGCAAGAATGATCATATATTCCTGTTCTAGCCCCATGTCTATAGTTTGATTCATTCACTTTTTTAAGTGATTTAATAACACCAATTTGATTGGACCTAAACCACTAACAAGATGTGGACTACATTTAATTCAAAATGTTTGCTCTTTTTGGGTGATTGAGTAACTTGCAATGCACACCAGCTAATCCACAATATAAAGCAATCTATTCTTAAACGTGTGCATCAACTTTAAGTTGCATTTATCTATCAAGAGTCTCAACCTCTCCTAATCTAGAAGATGGGGACACATGACTACAAAAGAATCTAACAAATTTTACATGTCCTTTTCAAAACTAAACATTAAATATAAAACTCGGATATATTTAATTGCATCTAATCATCAATTCAAATTCAAACGTTGAATTTTACGATGTGTCATTTGTCCGATTGCTAAATGGATTCGGAATTTATAAACATGACATTTTTTACCCAAACAAGTTATTGAAAAGGTAACATGTTTTGTACCCTACCTTTTTGGTTATGTGATTTTGGTATGTTTGTATAAGTTTTACAGAGGTGTAGTTTTTTTTTTTTCGAAAATGGGAAAATTTTATGGTTTGTGCTCATTGAATAGAGACGCGCTTATGTCACTCAGACTCGTAATTTTAAGTAGAACCAATGACAAGGTTCAGAATATGAAACGATCCCTCAACTTATATACTATTTAAATCAAGACTTGTGTTTTGTGGAGACTTAAGACCCACACCAAATAATTGAATACGATTTATCTAAATAACTAACATCTTATTCTATCAAACAGTCACACTTTTTATACCCAAAGAACTTCAAACCCCTAACCTTCTACTGCAAAGTCAAAAGTTCTGGCCAACTGAGCTACCCAGTTGGTTTACAGTGGTGTAGTTGGCTATTTGTAGAGGTAGAGAGGCATGGGCATCTGCACATAGGTACAGATACAGAAGACGGCTATTAAGGTTGGACTCCCTTGTGAACTGCATGCCCTTTGAATCTATCTCAATTATTCTATGCTTGCACCCAATCTTCAGGGGAGTTTGACCCGTCAGTTTTGCGAAAGCTATTCAGTCAGATTTTGAAATTATAGACTTATATCGAAATAAAAATTTTAGTACTGTACCTCTAATTTTTAACATTTTAATAGTTACTTTTATAATTTTTGTAAATTATTTTATAATTAAAAATTTATTACTTTTATAGATAATTTATTATTTTTATGAGTATTTTTACCATTACGGGGGTGTCTTCACTCTTGAGGTAGTAATAAATGTGGGAATATTATTTAATCAACAAAAAATGTGGGATTATTAGCAGGATTTGAATATTCACACACTCGCACAAAGAAATAAACAGACTAGATAAGTTTGTAGTGGTTATAACTAAATGAATATGTAGTGATGAATTATACCGAGCAATATCGATGTATAGTGAGGTGCATCGACTTGGCCGAAAAATTAAAGAGTTGAAAAATTAAAATGCAACTTTGGTTCATTTCATCTCGAAAACCTCATATTAGCTTTTAATTGAAACATTTTTAGTGTCAAGTAATAGATCATTCCATTTGTAATTGCTCTTAGTGCACTCCTAATCCTATCAAGCTGTCTAAGTTAGATTTCGAAAATAGCAAACCAGATGAGTTGAAGAACCTCTGATACACCAATTTTTGGCCAGGGCTACCCAGCTCAGGTGAACTACTAGTACTTGAGCCATACCGGGGGAAACAAAAAAGAAAAAAAAGGACGCACCTCATAAAAGCCCATTCTGGGCTGACAACTCATGAGAAGGGTTCAGTGATTCTTTTTTTTTTTCAGTTTAACGGTCAAATGTAATTTCGATTAACTTATGTACACTTCACCTGATTCTTTTTCTAGTCTAGTAAAAAACAAACCATCCTTTGCGTGCCCTCAAAGGACAGAAGCTGCATTTTTGGCATAGCAGTAGATCTTAAAAGATATGAATCTGATCATATATGCAAAAGCATTTCCCGCCATTTAAGCTTACCAACATTTGAATACCCTAATTTCTAGCACTGGAAGAATAAATAAAGATTTTTTTTTTTTGAATTTGTACTATAAATGATACCTCTGTGACATCACCTATAAAGAAAATAACAATGGTAGAAAAATGCCTTATGGCGGCTTCTTTAGCAGTCCTAGTTTTCCACCCAAGCTCAACCATTAGGTGCTTCAAACCTAAGCCATGTTCTAGCTCCCCAGAAAGAGAAAATCCTCCTACTTCAAAGCCTCCACATCCACTTGAGGAAAAAAAATCATCAAAATCTAGAAAGAAACTAGATTTCCATACATATTTTTCTCTCTCAAGGACTTCCTGTCACTCCAATGCAAACATGCTGTCTCCACCCCTTCCTCCAAAAATGAAAATTAACATGCTTTCCAATGTAGTGACAAGTCTCGTCGAAGGAGAACCTTCAATTGGTATCGTGGAGACCATGTTTCGATCAGGATGGAGCAATGGAGTTGGCCACACAGTTGAGAAGGTGTTGAAGGTGAATCACAATGAAGCTATGCTCAATAGGTTTGAAGAGTACAGGAAGTTAGTGAAGTCCAATGCTAAGGATTCTACTGGCTGGCAGAGAGTGGAGAGAGTGGTGGCCGATGGGAATGAGCTTCTAAGGTTCCATGGTGCAGTAATTACTTGCTCATTGGGTTTTGATGGGATTTCAAGTATATGCAACAGCAAAGCTTGTGGAGTTTGTAGAGTACTTGGTTCTAGTGTTCTGGCTAAAGGCTTACCTACCATTGCATTTTCTTCAAACAGTTGGAAGGCACATGAAAAAGTTACTACTAGATGCTTTGCCAACAGATTTTCTAGCAGGAAGGCTATTGTAATTTGTAGGGTGATTGCAGGCCGAGTTGCTCATTATGGCAAACGTGGGATCAAGGAGGAAGAACAGGGCGGGTTTGATTCAGTGGTGGTTTCAATTGAGGAAGAACTTATGGTTTTCAATACGAGTGCCATCCTACCATGTTTTGTGGTCATATATAGCATCCCTTCATCGCCCTGAGTATTATACATAGGTAAGAAAATGGCAATCAAGCATGTAGTTTTTCCTATTTTTCTAGAACTCCCTTGTTTTCTCTCTATCTGGACAATTATGATTATGTACTGATTAAGCCTTTTTTGCAACTTCCATAATACACTTGTTTACAGATAATCTTAGAATACAGAAGGAAAACTATGAATGAAATTATTGGATGTTTTCTTTTTCAAGAAACAAAAAGTGGAAGTTGCTAAAATAATGAGCAAGAAGTGACCAAGCCTCAGTATAGGTGTATAACAGAACATTTAATAAATTGGCAGCATGCATGCCTGGCCATTGTAATGATACAGATCATGGTGGAAATTAAAATGATACAGATCCTATGTACCTCCACAAAAAAGTCACAATTCTTTTCATGTTATATGTCAACCACATTTGTAAGAAATATGTTCTACTTTAAGGCAATAAAAAAAAATTCCATAAATCCAAAGTTTCAATTGAAAGGCAACCTACACTGGCCACATATTTACAACACAAAGTTTATAAATTCCGGGAGTTCTATTAGCTGCAATATTGAAAAACATCAGCCAAAGTATATTCCTAAACCTTTTAAAGGTACCAGAGCACTGCACCCATGACAAAGGATCACCTACATTGGTTGGTCAACTCACTGGTCTCTCTGGATGTGGATACCAGATCTGTGTAAAGTGCCTAGGCAGCCTAGCCCATCAGCCAACCAAAACTAGCCACAGCAATTCACCTTGTAGAAGAAATTTTCCCTTTCATAGAGCACAAGAAATCAATTTCTCACCTCCAGTATTACTGCATATGTCGAAAAAATTCTCCACCAAATTTTTGAAAATGGCTGCCAGTGGATACTTGCAACTTACAGTCATCGACTACTTGCAATTTCTGTTCAAATGCAGGAACCCTACATATAGAAATGTTACTTTCACTACCACTGTGTTTATATGCTAAACACAGCCATCTCCAACTTTTGGTCATTTGGGTGTTAGACACATGGCACTCAACTCGCTATTTTAATTTTACGTGAAATTGCAGGCATCAAGAACCGCATAGCGGAAAATTGAGGAAATGGGGGAACTTAGAGGAGAGTCCCTCTTGGTTCCAATAAAGCTGTAGTTCAGCCGTATCTGAGATACACATATATAATCTAATGAAACAAACAAAAAAAACTTTGAAGAGAACATCCAATTTGACTATCTTACAACAAAGTTTCACATTTTTATTGCTACAACGCCTGCAAACTTTGCTAACATAAAGATGAGATGTTAATCAAGGTAATTTGATTTTAACCTCCAAAAATTTAAAATATTTAAGTAAAAGTAACCAGTAACATGATATACTAACTAACTCACCTAAAAAAAACATGATATGCTAACTAGATATACTACTAAAATGAAAATGTTTGGTATTAATGTGGGAACCTTATAACAACCCAAGGCAGATATAAAGCTTACCAAGATACAATTAACAGCAAAGAGATTATGGGACCATATTTCATGAAGTCATTTTATCTCCATGCAATTTAATGTTCCAGCAATCTGCTTGAAGCATAAACACAGAATTTTTTTTGGCACAACTGCAGTATGTCATATCACAAACACAATTAGAAAAATGACACATGGAAGCACCTGCACAATGAAAGAAAGAGATCTAAGAAAAAGTTAAAGTCATTCATTTAGCAACTGACCAAAACTGAGAAACATTTATTGCGTTCTTTAAAATGTTATAATCTAAATATGGCTTTGAAGCAACATTTATTATGGTAAAACACTTGTAGCTGACCCCAAGTAGCTGAAAATAAAGTTGTCATTTTTGTCACTAGATGTGTCTACAACCACCATCCCAATACTACCAACAAGATATCTAAAGTCCCTAATGGTTGACATTTAGTGGTTGGACTTTGGCTAGCAACCCACCCCGCCGTAGTGTTTGCTGGTGGGGATTTTTTTTGTTTTATTTTTTTTTGGGGGGGGGGAAGGCGCTTATATGATGGTTGAGGAGGCTGGTTATTCTAATCCCTTATAATGTTTTCTTTTGCTGATTATACACATCAGCTTAACAAACTAGGTGACCCCACTATCTTCAAAAATCTGAATGTTTCTGTTGACCACGGTCATCAGGAATTGCATTTTACCTTTTAATTTAAGAAACGCACTTTACACGGGTGGCTGAATCAATGAAGTTACACTTAGTGTTCCTCAATCACAAAATAAAAAATACCCTCTAAGAAAGTGAGCTATATGATGAGAAATATAATACTGTGCACAACAAACTGTTTCTGATTGCCGCTAAAGAATTTGAAGATTGAGCTAAGAAGGAAAACTTATGGTTGAAACTGACACAAACAATTTTACTCACCCAAAATTCATAGGAAAATTCCTGGTTCAACTATGTAATTCTAAAATCCTAAAGTCCCAAGTTCAGTTTCAGCAATACTTTCAAACTAAAACTTTCAGAAATTCTCCAAATTTCAAAATAGAATAACTCTTTACCCAGGAGGCCAAATAAATTCTTTAAATTTCAACACAAGTATAACTCTTCACCCAGGAGACCAAAAGTTCAAGAACCTTCAAAAGGCTTCAACTTGATGAGAAAATGCTAAAGAATTCAAGAAGTATCTCAAACCCAGTTCAGGTCAATCAACAAGCCCAAACATGCAATACCAGCATAGACATCACTGCAACCCCTCAAATGGAGAGTGCAAGCCGAGCAAATAACAATCATTAAAAGAAAATAAAATAATAAGATATGCAGTAAAGGTGCAAATATATGTTAGATATAAAAATGTTTGTACTGTAACATTGCGCTGGTGAATGCATTACCTTGAAATTTGTTATCTTGTGTAATTATTCAAAAGTCTGCAGTTTCACAAATCATGATACCACTCACTCCGATGAAGGTAGCTACTTTACACCGCGCAACTGCCATCAATTAGAGAATAATGAACCAACATACATCAATAATAAACAGAGTGCAAGACCTATTGCGAGTATGTGTTGAAAGGAAGGTTTTCCATGTCTTCTAATCAACTACAAACATGAGTCCCTTAAACATTAACACAATAATACAGACGATCCAGTGCTTAAATGGGCCGTGCAATAAAGATTGGACGAATCTAGACCATTTTAAATTTCAAAGAGTTTCTTAAGTTGCTAGAGATTGTCAGCAATCCTAATGACAGATAATGCTGATGGAAAGTGTAATTATCTAACCTAAAATAACTGCACCATGTAGGTCTGCACTGTGGAGGCATTGTGCTAGCTGATTTTTCCTGCATGATCAAGTGCAACTATGGTTAACTGCAACTACAACATAATCAGGAATTCAAGAAGAAAGATGTCTCACCCAACATTTTAAAGAAGTTTTGTCACGTATTCTTTCCACATTTTGTGCATTGGCTTGAAAATTTCAAACCTGTAACCAAAGCAAGAACTTTCAGAACAAACTGGTAAAAATAAAAAAGTCGGAGAAAAAAAAAATAAAGTCGTGCAAGAATGTGATCTGTCAATGTATATCATTATGAAATCCTTGGTCATACACTAGGACAGCACCTATTGGTCAATTACAAATGACATTCTAAGTAAATGCTAAGAAAAGCAAAAGTATACCCAAAATTTGTCTGCATTGAGTCATTGACTGGAACTGTATTGATAAAGGATACACATAAAGATGAAGAAAACTATGATGCTGGATGGCGGTAGAAAAGGGGGAAACAGTTCATATGGTCCCTAGTAACCAACTACATCCAGGGTTTATAACCTTAGACCCACCCATCCATCAGGCCTTCAAAGAGGACGTAAACTAGCATTTTGCCCATACAAGACAAACCTCTCACATGAACTTTCATCCATGCACTAACCCATCTGCAGGGTCAAGGGTACTCAAAGGTAACTGATTAGACATGCCAATCTGCTTCAGGCAATAAACTATTGCCCACTTAGGTTTGTAGGTTAGAAGCATGCAACCAGTGCACGGATAGCCAGTTTGGCAAAAACTCCAGACAAAAGTTTCACACTAAATTACCCATGGTAATCATAACTTGGTCACGAACAATTATTAGAGCAGAAAGTGTGAATGTCCTGAATCAAGTTATTTTATGGCCTATCCCGCTATCCTATAACTCACATGTACTAATCAAAGAGCCATGAAGTGCCTGCGACTAAGTTTTGAGCTAGAATGATCTGCAAGAAGAAAGAACTAAAACCACTACAATACTCTTCAATGCATGCCGAGAGAGACTGCAATTTGTTGAACCAATAGTTCCAATTTGGAGAAAAAATATTATTGTGATGATTTCTGTGTAAATATGGGAAAAGAGTTTAGATTCTTGCAAAAAGAGATATGAGATCAAAAATATAAAAATATAAAAATGTTGACTAATTAAATTTGTAAATTAGCATGTGAAACAATATGCTCCATAAAGAAGCATACCACTCACTTATGGAGCTTTTGAGGCAAATTAAAGGATCCGCAACTTTTATGTTGCTTCCTGGACATATGCCTTTTAGATCGTCTTGAGTGGCTATGTAAAGACCAAATATGGGCACCACCAGATGTGCTCCTCTTTTGTACAATATTACAACAAAGGATATTGATGGTGCAATTAGGCAAAAGAGCAGAAGATACGTATCACATAAGCAAGTTTTAGCCTGAGCTTCAAGGCTCGTAAAAACTATGGAAAGATCCTTTCGGATTGGGATGACTGACACAGTGAAAATATAGTGGTTCACCGAGCTCGGGAGCTTGGCTAATCTACTCTTGAAGGGAGTCTCTTGCTCCTTTTATCTGTATTAATGTCGGCAGTGATTTACAAAGTATTTTTGATAATACTAGGGTCCCCCCCCCACATTGGAGGCATTGTACAGTATTTATAGCCATGTTCCTATTACAAAGGGATACACAAGGAGATTTTTGCCCTTCATTCATGGGATCTCCCTTGATTCTTGGAGAGAATCTTGGTTGGTTGAGAGTCATGTGCCTTGATTACAGTCTCCTGC